TTTCAGCTATAATTCTCAATGTGTGTAGACAACTTTTTCTACATTCCAGAACACTTAGAAGGGTAAAAAAAAATTAAATAAGACAAAAAATGTTGAAACGTAAAATAGTACACTGTGTCTATCGACGACAACACGGGACCGCAAAATATAATTCTTTATAGAGATAAAAAGATTCGAGTAAAACTTGAACTCATTTTGGATTGAATCCAAAATTTGCACTTATACGCGAGCAAAACTAAGCCTTTTTATATTATCTTTAATTACTTCCAATTTTTGGATATTGTCATTAGCACTTTTAGTGAATATTTGTTTATCATGTTAAATTAAACATTACATGATTATTATTATAAAATAAGATGCACATATGTAATAAACATACATAATAAATCGTGAAATATACAATAAAAATGTTATGACAAATAACTTAAGTATTTGTTTGTATACAAGTAATAGATTATAAAATTTTTGTAAGGTGTGCAATGCAATGAAACTCTATATATTGTGACATAATTTGATCATTTTTTCATCCGGTGAAATGTTTTATTTGAAGAAATTACTTTAATTTAATTATTTTGAGTATACAAATAAATCAAACGTATTGGAATATAGTTTTATTTTTCATATTCTTTACCTCGTTTACATACCACTAGATTAATAATTCATTTTCCATAAGTCATCTACCTACAGACATGCTGTTGAATTTCTATTTCAACTAAATAAATCAGGTGTGCAACTGAAATATTGCTATCTCATTATAGTAAGAAGTTTATATTCATATAAGAAAAAATATATAAATGGATATTTAATAGAACTAAATTTCAAGAACTGTTTATATTTTAAAATACGTTGCTTAAAACAAATAATAGAAAGAGCCAATATAAATTTTAGTTAAGCATATTCGTCGATAATATGACAAAAAGGAAACTACTTTTTTAATAATTCAAATCTTGTGATTTTTTAGTGAATAATATGTACTTTACTAACGGAAAAAAATAATATTTAGTGAGCTATAAAAAGTATTTTATCATTAAGTAACATCAATTTAAACCTAAAAATAAATGTTCTGTTTATTTTATAAATTTTTTGAAGACTACGTTTCAAATAATCTTTTAGTTCAAATGTTCAAGCAATCTCAAATTCAATGCATGCTTGTCTTGTATTTACATAATCGCATTATATATTCCATCACATAAAATGCTATGAAATAATTTAATATTGTCATGTAAGTATATTTTTTGTCGACATTTAAATTCATCATTTTACTTTTGTTAATTTAATAAAACTAATGATCTATAGAATATATATCTTTATACATTACATTCGTAAGTATAATGTTAAAAATCATAAACTGATATATTGAAATTAACAATTTGAAATTATTTTTATACAGAGTTTTCAGTAAGTAAGGAAACAACTCATTTGTTACTTACTGAACGACCTATATAAATAACTGTTTTTAAATTAAAATTTAATAGCTTACATTAAACATTTAAAATTATTTATAAGGATCCTGTGCACAATTTTATATAAAAAGTAAGATAGAGTTATATTTCTTTAATTTTCATACTGATTTAAATATTTTAGAAAAGTCTACAAAAAAATGATACTATTTTAATATAAAATCAAGAATTTTGAAAAATTAAATGTAGCTTCCTAATTTTAATGTTGACATTAAAAATTTTGACAGTTAAAAGCAAATGTTTTAACATGATGTAGATATCAGTGTGACATATGCGAAAATAAATTATTTTTCACAAAGTTTTTTTAGTCTTGAAAATTAAATTTCGGCTTTGATTGCCTAAAAAAAACTCTTAATATTTATGATAAATCCAGCGCTTAATTTAAATCTTTAAAAAAAAAAGAGAACTTTTCTTAAATTGGGATATTAGGATATTAATACAAAACAATTTTAAAGACTCAAAGTAAGAATTTTTTACCGTATTATTGACTATCGATTGCATATCTTTATACACGTGTAACGTAGATAAATGGAGTAAAAGTTAATTAAATTTTTTACTTAAAGATGAAGACAGTTTTGTTTTTCTCTAACAAACTATTTAAAAAAAAGAAAATGATTATCAAAATGAACATCACATAAAATAAGATATTCAATGCAAAGTTGAGTAGAAATTTTACTAACTTGAATTCTATTTGGAAGGTACGAAAAAAGCCAATTTTTTTATTAAATAATTAACTACAGATACCAAAGAATTTAAATTTGAAGTACAATAACTTATCATTATCATTATCGAAGGCTCTCTTGAAGTCTGTATAAGTTTGTATAGAGCCAACATGCAAACCTTGATTTAGTGAATTAACTAGATAGTTTTTATAAGGTAATAAATTAGTATATTATAAAATAAATATATAAATAGAATTTTTTGAGAAAAAACATTAATTACATGATTAGATTTTTGTTATAAGTGAAAATGTAGAGGTTAATCTGTAGTTTTTTATGTTATTTTTTTACCAGTTTTAAAAATTGGACAAAAAAATGTTTTTCCTAATATTAGGTAAATCACCAGTAAAGAGTATTAATATAGGTATTAAAAACAAAATTAACTGATGGATGATAAAAGAATTATAATCAAAAACTGAAAATTCATTAACGCGGCCGGTTATGAAAAGTTCACCGGAAATCGTGTAAAAAAAGAGGCATAGTACGGGAATAGAACTCGCTACCCACCCAAGGCATCGGTAGAGACAAACCTTACCACTTATAATTCAGATCCCAATACACTTTCATAAAGATTAATAGCGACTCAGGGAATCGTTTAAATTAAAACACCAATTATTAAAACATTTTTTGTTTCATAGTTAATTATAGTATTTTTAATAGTATTACAATATTTTTTGTATGAATTATTATGAGAAATTTGAGATATGTAAACATACCCTAAAAGGAGATTATTATTATTGTATATCAATTTCACAAAAAAAAATGTTCAATACTAGGAATGAAAAGAAAATTAAGTAATTTATAAACTAATGTAATTTCTAACAGCTTATAATACTCCACGGCCTCTATAACAATATTCAAAATTTCTACTTAACTTATAATCATTAAAATTAAAAAGGTCTAATTCTGCGTCACTTATAACAAAATTTAATCAAGTTTCAGTTAAGAACAATGTATCGCAATTTTAATTAACAACATAATCAAAAAAGAAGTTCTATTTGATTCTATGAGCTCTTACGTTATGATACATCACAGGAGGTTTGGTAAAATTTAAAATTGAGTATTTGACGAATCAGCCAATATAACTATTTTGGGAATGTCTTGCATAAATTTAATGGTTAAATGCTCATCATGCAACTTTTCCAGTGATTCGCATTGATATTGAGTCCGATCAGTAGATATACTGACTGAGGAAAGTGTATTTCGAAGTAATAGTCTCTTTTTTCTTTATTATGATATCAAAAACTTCTCATGCTAATAATAAAATAACTTTGATAATTTACCGGACTGATGACGACCTTCAAAGGTACCGGTGTTCTGCTTATGTATCAATAAAAGATTAAATCGTGTTATTCACCTGTTACATACCATAAGCTATTCTTTCATCAAACCTCTTTGAATTTCACTCGTTGACATTATAAAAAATTTAATTTTTCGAACGTAAATTACGTTTATTGATGATTTCATAAATGATAAAATTATCAGGCCGGATAACGTTAAAAATATTTTTAAAAACATCATCAGAAAATAATTTCTTTACAAGAGTTTTAAGTTCAGGTAATACTTTAAGTCCTTGATTACACCCGGAACAAAAAATGTTAACAATCTATTATTCAAATCAAAACCTTTTACTTACAGTAGAGGTTAAACCAGAGCATTTTTAATGACCCAATAACGAACAGCCATCAAATTTCATAGAAATGTCAAGTAGTTCAAAACGATAATTACATATGTAATAATTAACTTCATTTGATATTATAAGAACAAAAAAACACTGAACTAATATAAAGACGCAAAAACACGAAATATAATTTAATTATGATTAATTGTAATAGAATATTTAGTTAAATGTTGTCTTAACCATTACAAAACAGTAATTTAATTATTAAAAAAGTTAAGTATAGTCGGGATTTAGTAAAGAGAAGTTGAGGTATATTCTTTAGATTATTATTGATTGATATCTGACAGTGATTAAATCCGTCATCTTAAAATGCTTAAATGTGTTTTAAATGTAAATTAAAAAAATAATTTATCATATTTATCAAAAATTACATGATTTTTTATTAAAGAGGCCGATTACTTGTAAAGAGCAAGTTATTTATACGTTTCTCTTTTTTAATTATTTATTCCATTAAACAATCTTTAATTTTAAATAATTTTAAATACTGTAATTATTCCATTACTGCGCAAAAATTTGGCCATTTTTATGAAAAATTGTACGATTTTTGCCTTTAATACCTGATATCTCCTAGAAATAAATATTTATGATAGTTTTTCTTTTTCATCTTAAAATATATTGTATAAACTTCAATTTGATGGAAGTTAAAAAAAGCCAGATTTGTTAAAAAAGTGAAAAGAACAAAATTTTGATATGATTTTAAAACTTCTAGGTATCTTCGTTAATGATTAGAATTTCAAAAAAATTATGTTGTTGGCAAAATTTAAGTCTAAAATATTATCAAAAAAATTTTGCAATAATCTATCAAGTTTTCATAAAGTTATTATAATGTAAAGTGAAAACTTAAAATAAACCGTTTTACAACAGTTATAATTTTGTGTGATATATCCCTTTATCGCGGAATTGAGGAAAATGTTTCAAAATTATGTCACTACTAGCTATAATTAGACACGTTTGGAGTTCTTTTGATGTTTTGTTAAGCAAAATCGGTCAAATAAGAGTGAAATAACAAAGTGTCTACTGATAAATATGACGTGACAAAATAAAAGCAATATATTCTCAGCTATTCATCTAAACTAAAGTAAATATAATAGTAAATAATTTTTTTTGAATTTTAAATAATGATTTAGTGTAAGTACTTACAGGACTTAAGGTCAGCTAACTTTAGAAATTATTCATTCCAGCAAAACTTTTCCGGGCAATTTGTGTCATAAGCAAAATGTATGTATTATCATTCCATCTAAGACCTAATTATAAACAAACAAAAATCATCCCTCACTTCAACATGATAAATTTTGACTGTTCATTATACTTTGCTACATCATGTTATTTTAAACAAACTGTACTAATTACTAGTTTTTAAAAAAAATGTAAAGATACCCTATATCGAATCTAGTTGATGAATTTTGGCTTGGAAAATGATGTGTTTAGTATAGCTATGTCACTTTATTAAATTATAAAATAACAGTTTACACAATAAAATTATTAACAATAATGTTATTTAAATTCTAATTACAATAGATAATTTATATGCTATCATTTTAATTAAAATGGTATTTGATAATATTGATTTCCATTAATGGTTTTTATTAAGAAATTAATAAAATACAGTTTTTAAAATAATAAATTTAAAGTATTTTACAATATAATTAATAAATAGATTTTGTCAACGTGTGCATATGGATCGATAAAACATGTCATTAATCAAGTAGTCTTACACGATGATAAAGTTTATTCAAATAATAATTGTGTAATTCGCAACCGCAATAATCTAATATGTCGCTCATATTTTTGTTTTTGTCAAAAGCACTTCGGACCAATTTCAGTTACATAATTCTGTGTGTTATTTTTACAAACTGAAGTACTCTGTCGTTATTTGAAGTACTTTCGTATTTCTCGCTGCTCATTTTCGAATGAAACAAAAATTTTAAAAAATGACATAATGATAAATTAAAAAAATATACCTCAACATAATGCATACTTTTTTTAAATGTTCTCTACAATTGATTGCTAGTGTATTGCGTTACTTTATATTAAAATCATATTACATATAGAGCGAAAAGATTAAAAACCAAATCAATAGCGAAGGAAAAATAAAAAACATTTCTTTTTAGTAATATGACAGGAAAATTAACAAATCACAGCATTATGAAGGTGTAGTATCTACAAAAATAACTGCAATACGATTCCTTCAGTTCATAAAAATCTTATGCGATATCAAATGCACAACAATAATGATAACATTATTACATATGTAATACATTATATATGTACGTTATATATCATATATCTATGAAGATCGAATGTTTGAAAAACAAAAATTCTGTCAAGAAATACTATTGACTTACCTTAATGAGAAATATGTCCTGTATTACAGCCAATGGAACATATCGAAAAGGAACTCGATTTTCTTGGCGTCTAAGACGCCGTTGTGACTCGATTCCACATCAACAAATTTATCAAACAAATACATCTAGTTCATGTGAAAATACTCTCCAGTAAATCTAGTAGTGAAACAGAAATAAATTAATTTACAATGTTATTCAACAATGCAAAATAAACTTCAAATAATAAAACTTTGATTAACTTTAAAATTATTGAAACGATTTTAGTTTTTGTATTATTTTTATTTAAACAACAAGTTTGAAAAACTAATTATTACCGCAATTTTTAATAATTCATGGAAAATATGTCTTATATAAATAAACTTTTAATTTTAAACAAAGCTATGAACTTTTTGCAAAAAGTTAATTTAAATTCATGAAACAAAAAATTGATTTTATGAAATCAATCATATAATTTTCTTCATGATGATACAAAAAGTTAAATAATTAATTTTTTGCCTAATCAAAAATATACATAAAATATGTTTTAAAGTCATTGTGCATTATAGATGACAATGAAACTTTAAATAGTACAATTTTTCATAATCTACTATACATTTCTATATCGAAATAAATAATTTTAAATATTGATAATATAAATTAACTAACAATAAGATAAAATTTACATTTCGATATCTTAGAAAACAACAAACGCTCTTAAAATTAAAAAAAAATGACCATAGCATTTATACCTTTTAAGGTATCGATTTTGTTATCTTTAAGCAGTCATTTAAACTTATATAATATAAAATATAAAAACGTATTTCATAGAACACATATGTATGAATATATGTACTTTATGTATTTGAATAATTTTATAATATTTTATGATTCATATGATGCTAAGTTTTCTTACTACAGATCTATCATTTAAAAATACAATGAAAATTAATCACTATGGCTGATATTATTCAACATTTGAACTATATTAAAAATGTTATTATATTAAAACTAAAAAATATTTAACTAAAAAAGCCACAAAAGAAAAGAAAATTATTAAATAAATTGCAGAAGCACTTATTTTGGGAACAATGTTACTATTATCAACGCTAAACACAAACTGACAACCTGACCGAAAAAAAAACCCTTATATACCTCTAGTGACCTTATCGCCTAGTGACGTTATCACTAAGTAATATTATCACATTATGCCAGTTGACACAATTTTAATAATGAATTTTTCAGTGGGGGGCTAAGATCCTAATTAATTAAATTGTTTTTATTTTTAAATATTTCTATTGCTCCCTTATATTAAGTATAATTTTAAATATTTAAAAATAGTTATTAAAGACCTTCATATTCTTCACACTGATTGTCTTTTATTATGTACCGCACTTAACTTTCTGTACCTTTAATAATGTACTCTTCGTACTTGAAAGCATGATTAATTAATTTAAACACAAACTTGACTAAATTTTCATAATAAACAGTTATCTGATACAAGTATAACGAATTTTACTCAACGTGAATAAACAATACAATGTCGACTGTATTAGAGGCTATAATATAGAACTCTTAACGGGTTTTTGAATTTACTCAAAGCAAAAGCACAATAGATAATATTAGATGGAATACAGCCAGACAGGAATGAGAATTATTTCTATTCTCTATTCTAATGGAACATAGTCAACAGTAGATACAAGCTTAAATCTCTTCACTGGCAACAAGAGAATAGTACCCTGATGAAGACATATAACCTTAACTATTTTACTAGGAATGATACAAATAAATGAATGATAATATAAGTGAAATACTGCAATATATTTTTTGAAATTATATGTAAGTAGAGAATTATGATATACATTTTATAAAATATCTTTATAACGTATAAAATAAAATCTAATATATATTATGCATTATTTATTATTCATTAACAAAATTCGTAACAAAAAACAAGTAACGTTTATTTTATAAGTTTAAATGAATCTTGCAAAAAACTTTAAGCAGTTCAAATTAACTTATTAGAATTTTGTCCAACAAACCATTATGTATTTATCACAAACAATTAAAGTTTTATGCAATTCAATTTAAAAATTCAATCTAAAAGAAATATTTAAGTGATGTCAATAGAAAATGAAAATAAAAATACGATAGCAGTGACAATGGTTGACTCAATAACGTAAAAATGAAAAAGAAGTGAATAATATTGAAAACAAAAGGTTATGCAATTATAATAATATTAAAATGAAAGTGGCATAAAACGATTTTAGTCAATCGATGAGAGAGAAAATTTAAAAATAGAGAAATCGACTTCAAATAGTTAATAAAATTAATAATATGAGAGTTGCCGAAAGTTTAATATTAAAATTTATTTATTCAAGGAAAAAAGCTATGGAATTATAATGAATACTGAATTTCTTATAAAAAAATAGTTAAAATATTATTAGTACTTTTAAAATACTTTTATACTGTTCATGATTTACAATTTTGGTAAAAAGACTTAATCTTTTTTTTTAAATATTCTAAATTTTACTTTCTCTAATATTTTATGCAGCTTTTCAGGACATAATTTTACTTTTTAAGTTTGAATATAATAATTTTTTTTGTATTAATGATTAAAATATAAATATATAGAAAATATAATAATGTTAATAAATATTGACTTTAGTTATTATATCACAAATAATATTTAAAAATAACGAAAAAATAATTACTAAAAAATTTTTTCTAGAAAAATGCAAGTTGAGCATTGTTTTAATACTCAAAATAACTTTCTATAAAAAGTAAGTGTTATTTCATTAGCAATGATATTTTTTATAATTTTCCCTTATATTTATCCCTTCTCTAATCAGTTGTGTATTACGATGATGATAATAGTATCTCTAGTTACAGGATTGGGTTTAATAATGTTACTTTTAACTAATGAATAGTGAAATTACTGGCAGTAATAAAAAAAAATGAGTTACCTGAATGTCATGCATCATGATGAAATAAACTTTTAATATTAAGGTATTAGCATACTTTTCGTATTGAAATTAATTTAATTAAAAATTATATTATACAACTTTAGATAATTAATACTGAATATAGATAATGTCAATTATACGAATTGAAAAATGTTTTTATAAGTTAAAACAAAACAAATGAAACCATACGAAAAATTCAATTTAGAAGTCATGTTTAAATATCTATTTATTTTTTAGGCAGAGTACTAATGGTAACTGTTTGCTCATGTTAGCCACATATTGATTATTATGGCAAAATGCATGAAAAAATAATTAATAATTATTAATGACTATACAAACATAGGTTGTAAATATTTTGATAATACAATAGCTCTTCAAAGCTAGTTATACTTTAATATTAAAAATAAAATTTTTATTTTTTTTCCTGCATTAAAATCCTGTGTTATTTATACGGAATTTTGACTTTTAACATTTAATACAGCAGTAGCTTGATTTGTGCTCGTTAGTTATACTCAGTCGACACCTATAAGTTTTACTGCTTTTATGGTGAAGAATTTAGTACATAGACATTACTATTTGACGATTACGATATCATTGTTTTCTAATGTGAAAACGCATTAAATTCATCGCCATTTAACTTCCGTGTTCTCCATAAATTATATGCCATTTGTTTAGATAGTCTATTAAACCAGTAAAATTTTGAACAATATTTTACTATGATACGACTAAATTTCCAAGGACCATCTTTTTGATACCTTTTCTTATTCAACAATAAATGCTTACAGTCTCGACATGGAGTTTATAATAAATAAACTTTTTCTTTACTACACACATTCGTTGCTTTGTTGTGGTTATAGTAATACTTGTAATTTCATCTTAGTATAAAATTTAAAACTCTATGAATATAAATTCATTCATTTTTACCCTAATAATGTCCTTAAAGCTACTACCCGTAGCTATTTTAAAATAATGAATCTCTTGGTACATGCATTATTTACCTAACAATGGAATGCTCAGACAACATTGTAAATTGTCAACAAAATATATATTATTAATTCATATAAAACGATCATAATGAGATTCAATACCTCATTTTCTAACTTTCGTATTTACATTTTATTTTGGGGGAGAAGAAGCAAAAATATCTTTGTATAATTTAATCTTATAATTTAGTCTAAAAGCGAACAGGTAACGGTGTACCTCTTAAACGTTTAATTTTAAATGTGTAGGATGTCTCTTTGACTCTAATGGTTTCGACAATCGAATGTATTTTCAACAATCATTAGTTTATGACACAAAAACAAACAAGTTAAAGTATGCATAATTTATTGAGTGTTTTAATTTTTAATAATTTATTTAATATAAGCGAAGTTCTTGAATTATTCACAAGTGTCTCTCCAATTAATTAAAGACTACATAATCATATTGATTTTCAACAAGTATTTTAATTATAATTAAATAAGAATTCATATGATTAACACATTGCTAAAAATCAGCTAATATTTGATTGAAATATTTATAATACGTATATAAATCAACATGCTATAACATTTTTAGATTTGACAATAAAAATATTTTTTGTGAGTAAAAGAAATGTATTTATAAAATGAAAATTGTTTTATTTCATAAAAGAAATAAATAACGACCACAAAAAAGTATAAAATTAATGTTATATTCTGTCACGGTGAGATAATAGTATCGTATGTCTTTTAACGCTGATATTGAGAGCTTTTTTAAAGTTTTTCTGAGAATAAAAGAAATCAATTTATGAACCCCTTACAAACATATTTGCACGTCATAAAAAAAATATTACTTATCTTTAGAATATTCTCAAAAATTGTTTTCAAATTTGCAAACAAACACTAAAAATTAATTTATAATAGATTAATTTTTAATAATTTTTAAACTTTAAATTACAAAAAAATAACCCAAGAAAAAAAACTTGATACTTCTTCATATAATGCATTAACGTAAAACACAATTCAAACTATACTCAAAAGAGACAAATTATCTGCCGTCTTATTTTTTTAATGAGTAAACAATATAGTGACAAAATATTCGACTTAAACTGCGCTATCTGTAAAGTCAAACTAGTTAATTAAAAACCCAACCTAAATTCAATAGCCGTAACCCATCTTATTTAATTATTTGTGCTATAATTATTTCATAAAATATGTGTTTTTCACACATGTAAAATACAAAAACTTATTTATG